GTTTATTATTATTATTATTTATTATTTTCCCCTTGGGTTCTGAGTGGAACATAGGGCTTGAACAACAACACATTTCCACTTTGTTCTACTTTCTGCCATCCTCTGTTCATAATCTCTCATCTCCTCCCACTCACACGATCTCCTACATGCTTCCCTAAGATCACCAACTCGTCACTTCCTGTTTGGATTCCACTCTAGCGACGACTAGCGCGTGATCACATTCAACGATTTCTTCAATGTATGCCCAATTAATCCATCGGCATTTTCTCCCCCCCACATATTTGTTGAGCTATCGCCTCTTGGTTGCTTTGTTCCCACAGTTTCTTGTTACTCAATTTTTTCTCACTGATCATTTGATCTTCAATATGGAGCCAGTCAGTGAGGGAGCTACTGATGAAAGTCTGCTACCTGACCCGTGTTGTGTTGAAAATCCGAATCTTGTTCTTCATGCTAAGGCAGAGTGCAGAAGATTTCCAAACTGGTTTCAAGTTGATAAAGGCGTATTTTTCCTTTCCGATCATGGTCGCCTGGCTTTGACATCCTCATCTTTGTTGCCTCTCTGTAGATAAAACGATGCTTTCTAGATAAGTGAAGGAAGTAGCCTCATTCAAATCTTCCCCGTTGATGGTGATTGGTGCTAGTTGTTGCTGTTGTTGCTGCTGTTCGTTGGTTACATTCATTACCTACATCTTCTCTATGTTCACCTGGAGTCCCATCTTTCCCACCTGCTTCTTCTTCCAGTTTGTTGGTTTTCGTCAGCCTGCAAGTCTTCGAGCTTTTCATAGCACTCGTCTTCATTACTTTATTCAGTACAGTGTACCCTGCCTAGTTTACTAGCTTACTAGTTTTCTAGCTCAAGTAAAGAGGTAGGGTTGGGCGTGCGCAGCTAGCAACCCTACACCCCAAAGACTATCAAACAGCTAGAGAAAATTCAATGCACAGATAATACGTCAAAAATACAACAAATTCAAAAAACGATCTTATTCTTCGCTCGAATAGGAGAGGCGAAATGACACAGCAGGCCATCAGGAAGCAGGTCAACCAGTCGATGAAATCAAGAATAAGAATGATGACGTTGAATGTCCGTACAATGTACGAGGTTGTCCAGGTAACTGACGAATTCCGAATATATGACATAGAATTGCTGGTATCTGTGGGGGCAGATGGAATGGAAGTGGATTGTGAAGATTGTCAACTGGAGAGTCAATAATAGACTCCCATCAACCAAACGACAACCATAAGCCCACTGAGTCGGTGAGTGGCTATCATAGTTTCACCAGTGTCAGTCAAAGCCATATACAGTGATAACCAATACCATCCAGGATCGTGACAACAAGATTCACCTCAAACGACAGGAAGGGAGGTCACAATTATCCAATGCTACATACAAGGCTACAAACAATATGGAACAAGAGAAGAGGGAATATTTCTACAGACAACTACAAACAGTATTGGACAACATCCCAAATGGCGACATAGAAATCATCATGGGTGATATAAACGCCAAACGAACTGGGAGCAGATAATACAAGAAGAGAACTCATCAGGGGTCGAGGGGCTCTGGCTAAGAGAAATGAATGAGAATGAAGAATTATTCGCAGACTTATCCGCTTTCAATGATTTGTTGATTAGAGGCAGCGTGAACAAACACAAGGATATATACAAAGTAACAGGAATGTCGCCTGACGGACAGACCACAAACCAAATCACGCTGTCAATACTTAAAATATTTCAAAACTACGGTTGTTAACAGAATAGGATTGCCTTTCATTTTATTTTGTAAGGCATTCAAGAAGAAAACAAGTGATACAGGGAAATACAACAATATTAATCTACATACTCTATGTACTTATTGAAACAAATCCGCACTAAGACATACGCCCCACAAAAGTAATTAAAGGAAACCACCATTACTGAATAACTGACCAAGGTTAATTTACCTACTATTATTTTTATTTTCAAAAGTTAGTTCGTAGGGAATTGATTTGTTCTTCAGATTTGCCCTCAGACTGACATAAGTAAGAGAAACGATAAAAATCAAGGAGTACTTGGCAGCTGTTTCTTCCCTAATGCTTGGGACTCATTCAATGTGTCCCTAACTGATATCAATCCGTGGTAATACTCGAAACTTACTGCTGGGAACTAATCTGATGGTCGCTAGTCCCTGGTTACAGGATGAAGTTTCCTTCAGTTCTAGTGAATTGTGACCAGTTTGATCTACCCAGAAGGAAGTGAGGACAATTACTAACCACAGGTGAAAATGGCTGGTGCCAGTCGCATGAGCTGATGGAAGTTAGAATTCACGATCTGGCAACTGAGTTGGGTGCCAGTGAGTGAATGATCTACAGGCGTTTCTCGTAACCGGAAGGTCCGGAATTCTATCTCTGGTGGATACCTACTGCTGGTGAAGAGTCCCAATCCATAAGGAAACAGATGTCAAGTGCTCCCTGGGTTTTAGTAGTTCTTTAACTGATATCGTTATTACTGTAATTAAATTAAAATAAAATTCTAAAATGAAATGAACTATAACCGATGGAATTTTTGAGATAATAACATTCTATTGAATTTTAACGGAATAACTACAAGAATATGTTATGTACTCACTGCATAACCTAACAAATACTGGATTTACTCTGTGAAACAAGTTAATTTTATGTAAAGAAATAGGTTAGGAACAGCTCTTAAGTGTTTGTTGATATTTGATGATTTACTCATGTGCCTGTTTCAGGTGAGTTAAAACTGTTTCTGACAAGGAAACGAATGAAACTGACATTTGGTGTTCAGATCATTTAGGTTCAACTAGCAATCACCGCTAGTTGATGTGTGAATCATGGAAGAGCTACTCATTTTGAATCAATCTCAGTTATGTATTTACTGATTTTCTGGATGATATCGGCCAGTGATATAAACTAATTTAAGATTTATCAGTTTTTCAAAGGCTTCATGAAATCTTATGATAAAAGCACAATATACGAATTCCATGCACCTATAGATCTGTAGCACAAAACTGGTTCAAATGTTTTGTTAGACGATTGCCTTAATATCACTTGAGTGGAGAAAGTTAGCTAGCAACATTGAAGCCATATGTGTCATTGTGGTATATCTGCAACCTCGAAGGAGCTGTTGTCTATTCAGAATTGCATCAATCACTGATTCGGTCAAAGATACTGCTACTGAGCAATTTATAGTAACAGTTGACCTCCTGTAGGTGATATGATTGCTAGCAATTAATTGCGCTCGAATTCTCATCAGTAAATATTACTGTATAACACTGTGAGACTTTATCCAAATAATTTTACCCATAATGGAAATTATTGTTTTTCAATTACGAATACATTTTTTTCACCCCAAGTGGTCATCACAGAGCAACTGACTTGTTTTACCCGACTTCGTAGTTCAGCTAGCTTAAAAACTATTTCTGTATTTGCGTCGTTTATCTTAGCGACATAATGGATTCCATAAAAGCTGGGCGTATACGGTTCAACAATCAGAGAAAAAGAAAAGCTAGTTTCGACTGTTCTTGTCGGGTACACCAAGCAATCGAATATCCATGTTAATTCTTCACTTAATAAATTGTATTTGATCCAAATATTTCTAATTGTCTGTAACCAGTTCGTCATTTCATCACTTATTTTATCTCTCTGCACTCCGAATGGAATATTTGGTTGCAGGCGTAAGCTCTGAAATGTCAGTAGCACAGATGTTTAATTGTTAAAGAGTGAGCTTGCTTAGCCTATTTACCAGGCTTACTGCCGGCTAGGTGAGGTTTAGGAGTGAGTCGGTAGGGGTTTGGACCACGGACCATGTTCAGGAACCACCGACGCACCTGTCATTTAATGATGTAGCTAATGTATTCTCTGCATAGCCTAACTATTATGACCTTCAGATTGTAAGACCGCCTAATTTATCACTCAAACAATGGCTGAAATCCACCGGTTGATGAATTAGAACCACTGTCAAACCACGACACTGGCCCTCTACCAGCCTTCGTCAATTTTGAAATCTGTCGAATCCTGCAAACTCAACTGCTTTAAATATATGGAAAACTTTCCCCTAACCAACAACGAAATCTTAGTATAAATCTACCCTTGCTTTTCAATAAAAATCAGTCAGCGTGACTAGTGAATATACTGTGAACACTATCGGAAGTTTGATCTTTACAATCAAATAGACTGAAGCAACCCCAGACTACTTAAAATGATAGAAAAGAGTGTCATTAAATCTTTATCATATAATCAGTATATATATATATCCATCTTGAGCTGTCTAATATAAACTATTATGCTGCAGACTACTTTCATTTCTCATGCGAAAAAATTCCTGTCAATACTGAATCTGTTCAATAAAAGAATTTGATTTACATATGGTTATTAATTAAGCATATTCTACGAAAATTCTGTCTTTCTGTGTCTCAAGTGCTAGATTTCTGCCAAGTCTCATTATGTCCGCTTAGCATTATTAGTCTTGTTGTCCATCATGAATCTGCAACCTGATTGGTTGTTTATTATCTAGCTACATGATGCACAAATAAGAATAGAGGTCAATGCAAACGACTCTACCAATCGAATTGATTCTATAGCCTGAAGAAGGGCATAGGTGGATGACACTAAAATAATGTGTTCAAAGCTCAGTTTCGTGTGTTTAAAAAAAAATTTATATTCTTTCCTTCTATCTATCTATTGAGTGGAAACAAAAATGAATTCATTTCTCTTGGACAACTGTAAACATATTACTGAGGACTAGATTGATTGCTAAAATACAAATGAATTGTATTTTGGATGGTATTGATTCAGCAAGTTCATGTACATCATCAACCGATTAAAGTTGAGAAATTACTCAAATGTGGAAATAACCTAAATCATTTACGAAATTTTAACAATAAACAAAAAGTTTACATTGAAAGTATTTCTAAATACTTAGAATGCAAAGGACATTCTGTAGCCTCTACCGTAACTGTTAAACAAATAGAGAACATTTTAAGACATTCTAATGATACACTAATGGCTTCATTGTGTTTTTCATTTCTTCATGGATCTAAAGATCAAAATATCAATGCCAATCCAGATGTTTATACAAGTGCTGGAATCGTTGCCACTACATATTCACGATTTAGAACAAATTTTTGGTTGGATAGAATACTATTCATTTTAACAGTTTATTTGCCTATTATACAAGCAATTGTTTTATTACTATTGCATACCATACTCGGCGTTACTCGTTGTCTTCCAGATATAAAAGACGATAAAATCGATTATGCAAGTACCAATACATTTATAGATAGAGCATGTGGTTTACAGTTAACAACAGATGTACTACAAGGAACAGTGAAATCAGTACCCAGTACATTTAAATCCACTAGTTCAAGTCATTATCAGTCCGGTATAGTTGATAAAGAAATAAGTACAATACGATTACAGCATGAATGTTATCCATTTGTTTTAATTTTATATGCAATAGCAATGTGGATACCTCACTACTTATATCATCGTTCTATTGATCGAACGGCTAGACGTGATTTATGCCTAATACGTACAGAGTTACATAGTTTCCGACGTGCTGTTACTCAAGAACTTGCTTATTTACAAACCCTAGCAACTGGATCCACTGATGTTGAAGCACCGACAGGAACATTTTTCTCGCCTAGATCTACTATTCCTACCTATCCTACATTACATCAGTCAAGTACATATTATCCTCATGGTTTTACTAGTTACGGACAAAATGATGGTCAAAGTGGACAAACAACTGCTGCAACTTTTGGCGGTGGATCAGTATTATCACAAACACCTGCACCGACTGTTATACATGCCCAACAATCAGCAACTATTGGTACAACGAAAGGTGGTATTGTTAATAGTCCAGACATTTCACCTGCATTACCAATGAGTTTTGGTGATGCAGATCTATCTGCACCTGGTTTATTAGATTTACCATGTTTTCATGCTTGTCATGCTGACTGGTCGTTGAATACATACTTAGCAGCTTGGCAAAACACAGATTTCTATTGGACAAGATACTTGACAAAACATATTGTATTAACTGTATTTCAGTCATGTGGTATTATATTTATTTTTACAATTATTGGGGTATATAAAGGTACACCATTTGCAGCATTATTTACATGTCAAATAACTGAAAGTTACTCACAATCTAAGTTATTCATTTGTATGCTACAAACAACATTTTTAGTAAATATGTCAATATTAAGTTTAGGCTTTTTAAATTTAACTGGATTAATTTTACAAATTATTTATTTTTATGAGAATTTTATTTACTCCTTTTGGTTATTTAACACTAATGGTAGTTATATGGGTATTACTAATCAACCAGCGATATTTTTAACTGGTGTTGATGAGAATCGACGTTGTTTCTTTGCTGATTATATACGTTTACTGGCTTATACAGCGTTTAAAGACACACAATGTGAAATACGCACACTAACTGTTAATTATTCACCACGTTTATATCGTTCAGATTTTCATTTTCTATCTTTATTATGTAATGAAAATGCTCATCTATTACCAGATTCTATACATATACATTATTGGACAGAACGTTATGCCCGACTTAGTCGTAAGCGTTTCCGTCGACCATATTGGGCTATACGTCGTGGAAGTCTAGGTCATTTAGTCAGATGTGAAGACTTATCAATGAAGTTTAATTTCAGCAAAATTAAAATAAGAGTTGAAGTGAATGATTTTGGTTTTTAATCGACTGAAAATAAGAGTAGTAAGTAGTATGATCAAAAGGTAAAATAAATATTAAAATTAACCGCCTACCTATTTGATTAAATTTCCAAATCAAATAAAAAAAAAGAAATTAATTCACTTGAAGTGATTACACTAAAATGTATAAATGAAATAATAATCTGTACGAGTAATTAATATATTTAAAAAATATTTTTTAAATGTATTATTATAACCAAATTGGAACATTTGCCTGAATTGTTGAAAAATTTAACGTTCACTTGACACATTGAACACCTCATTTTATGTAGATATTCTGTTTACCTCAGGAGAAAATATTCTGTATGAATGCATGAGCACATGCATTTGAATTTACTGTATTCACCAACTAATTTGATTATTCAACTCTAGTGTATTTTTGTTTTCCAGTTTTGTTTTGCTATTATCCAGTTTTTTTTTCTACCATTTTTTCGTTTTATGTTTTATTGTTGTGCTTTTATTTTGTAGGGAAATAGGATCTTCTGCTTGTTTCTTTTCTCTTATTTATAATTGTAATCAAACTAAAATGCCTTTTAATGAATGTCTTCAATATACATATATACATGTTTGAATAACTTGTAATACTGTCTTTAGCTTTAATTTGGTTTTCACTTCAAATGTGTTAGTGATAGTTTAAGGTGAATGAATGGTTAGTCCATGTATGAGCTGACAGATAAAGTTGGTTGGTTGATACTTAGTGTTGTTTAAATTTTCTTCAGTAATCGATTAGTAGGTGGATAACTTCAACTTGGTTTCCTTAATTGTACAATTTATTATTATTATTCCCACGGGTTCCGCGTAGAAAACATAGGGCTTCAACAACGCATCTCCATTTCGTCTTGTCCTCTCCAGCCCGCTTCACCTGATCCCATGATTCCCCGTAGTCTTTCGTCTCCTCCATGTAAACCTCGAACCCACACCTAACTTGTCGTTTCCCATTCGCATTCCACTCAAGCGGTAGTCTGGCTAATGCACAATTCCACCCTATAGTCTTCTCAATATGTGTTCGATCCATCTACATTTTCTTTGGCATGTTCGTTGAGAAATAGGTCCCTGATAGGTTTGTTCCCAGAGTTTCTTCTTGTTATTTTTTCTGGCCGCCATGTGATCTTCAGTATGGAGCTGGCGAAGGCAGCTGTCGATAAAAGCACGCAGAAGCCTATTTGAAACGGTTTTGGTGACACATCTACCAAGTTTCTGACTCATGTGGAAGAGCTGAATGACTGAAAATTGGTGTTGAAAATCTGAATTTTGTTCTTTGTACTTCGGAATGCAGCTGACTTCCAAAATGATTTCAAAGTGATAAAGGTCTGCATTGTTCTTCCGATTCTACTTTTGACATTCTCATCAATATTGGCTGCCTGCAGTTGAAATGATGCTGCCTGGATAGCTGGGAGAAGTGACCACTTTCAAATTTGTTCTGTTGATAGTGATTGGTGCCAGTTGTCATTGTCATAGCTTCCATCTACTCCATGTTCACTTGAATTCCTGTCTTCGATTCCTGCTTTTCCTGCCAACTTACTTGTTTTCGTCTGTCAGTCTTCGAAGTTTAGATCTTCTAGGGTCTTCTTCTCGGTTCAGAGTATTCCCGCCTTCTCTCTCCCTATCCATGGTGTGGCGTATTATAGAGTCCAACACAGTTGGGGATGTCATCGGTGGTGGTAATCAGCCTTGGCTTACTCCTGTCTTCACTTCAGTGGTGTCGCTGAGTTTTCCGTTGTGGATCACCTGACATGTGCCACTGTGATACAGCTGTTGAGTGAAGCCAAGAGAGATATGGGGCACTTCACTTTATAGTGTTAAAGCAATTTCCCAATTACTTCACGCCTTCTTTGCTTCTCAAAGTATTTTCAAAGTCAATTAAGTTGCGGTATATGTTTGACCGCCATTCTATACTCTGTTCGACGATGATGCATGCAGTCGCGATTTGCTTTCCTAAATCCAGCTCATTCCGGCGGATTTCTGAACCCAGTGCATCTCCTATTTCCTCCAGGATAATACGACGTAATATTATGCTTGGCGCGGCCAGGAGAACGATTCCGTGCTAGTCGCTGCAGAGGCGTAAGATGCGCTTCTTTGTTAGTTCGTCAAAACTGTATAGTTCACTATCTCCTTAATACCACTTTACTGAAGTATCGAACAGTCCTCGATAAAACTAAAACTAGTATATATAGCTGGACAGATCATTCTCTTGTGACATTTAGTAATGCCAGATTCCCATTAATCAAGTACTTATCTGATCGTAATGACTTACTGACTACATTCACGTAAACAATGCAAAGTGTTTTCTAATGTCATAGGAATCTATCGACTCTTGAAGACTACTACAGATAAGATGATTGTTTTAATAAATTAAAAAAATCCAAACAACTAATAGACTACTTGATGGTAAGATTACTAGAAAAACAGCATAACAACGGATGAAAACTTCCTTACGGTGGACTGCCTTCAAAAGTTATACTATTATATTTGTGTATTAAACGGAAAATTCGTTGATGATGCATGCTAGAAAATGTTTAATAGGCATTGAGAGGATTACTTCGGATGTAAACAAATAAAAGAAAAAACCTTTTGTTACGTAATGAACGTGAATAAACCCTAGTCTACCTAGCCATACAGAAACTGGAATCAGTAGAGCATACAGAAATGTATATTTAAAAACTGTATAAGGAAGAGTAAATAATAACACAACAAGTCAGTTGTAAGGGCAGTTATCATTGCGAAGTGTTAGAAGATGAGATTCTTGAGGAAGTGGGTATATAGTGACTTGCTAGCCTTATAACTTCAAAGTGCTTCGTTATAACACTGATGGATTCAGCTCTGTGTACTGCCGAAAAGTCCCAATCACTAATAAAATAGATATTTTCAGTATTTTCTGTGTTTTCCGTGGGTCCTTTAACCGATGTCAATTGCTTATGAAATCTACCTTGAAACAAAATCGAAATAAGATTATAATGGTAATGCAAATATGTGTTTTTCTTCCTTAACGTTCCCCAGTGGAACATAGGGCTTCAAGCTAGTGGCTTGAAGTTTCTGTAGCAGTGTGGGGTTGCTAGCCTCATGCCCGACCTTTCCTCTTTACCAGCATCATTTCTGGCTTAGAGAAGTAAAGGAGTGCGTCTATGGCCGGGTATCGAACCCCGGACCATGTGCACGGTCGGCTAGCGTCCTAACCGCTATGCCACCGAAGCACTTACTTTTGTTTTTGAGCAAGAGGATGCGGTTTTAGTTCGCGGACAGTCAGTGATTCATCCATGTGTGTGTAAGTGTCGTATCTAACTTCCTTAGCATAATAGCATGCAAATCCACAGATCACTTTGAAACATTTGTGTGAATAAGCTGACATGGCGCTAGAGTGTAGGCTCTATTAAAAATGGAACAAAAACTGGCCCATTAGTTAAGGTTATTATTTTGCGAGTCATATTGAAGACACAATTATTCCCTGAAGTTGGTATAGACTGTACTTTACTCATTAGACATCAATTCACATTTAATGGATATTGGGAGAGTTGAAGTCTTTTACCAATCATCCTAAAGTTGAACACCTCGACCAATAATTTAAAAATTCCACTGGTCTTTTCTACTATCTGTTATTACTATCGCTAAATTTCACTATTTGGCATAACCCCAGATTTACGCTAAGTCGGTTTATTGTGAGGAAGGGAGAACACTGACAGTTGAAAAAGAAATGTAGGCTGCGATCAGAATTGAAACCAGTAGACACCATTTAGTGGTTGACTCTAGTAGAACATGACACAAACACAGATTAGCAAAATCTAACTTATAATCACCAACAAGGTGGATATTAACCAAGTTTCTTATAATTAGATAAACATATATTTATGAAATGAATGTGATTTACATGAATTCACCCATAATTGCTAAGAAGATTAGTTAGAGTAAATAAATAAACAACAACAGTCATGTCCCTCGTCAGTATATTTACGCCTCCCACCCCTAGCCCACACACCTTCCCTCTGGGTTTTCTGTAATCATTTGCACATATATTCATAATCTTTCTTAATCATTGCCTTGGTGTTTTTTTTTCAAAAATAACATTTATTCTCCATCCCAGTTGTTTATTTAATCGAAACATATCTATGATGGCATTGACTGAATTTTTATTCCTTTACGTTCCCAGTGGAATATTGGGCTTCAAGTTAGAAGCTTGAAGTTCCGGTAGCAGTAGTGTCTTCCCTCTGTACCAGTCTTATCACTGGCTTAGTAAGGTAAAGGAGTGCGTCGACCGGGGATTGAACCCCGGACCATATGCTTGGTTGACAAGCATTCTATCGCTGTTCCACAGACTCACAAAAATAACTCGAAATATTAACTAATAGACTACTATTAATTAACTAACGATAATTAAAAATAAATGCTCTCATATGTTCAATTTAAAAATAAAAGAATGTTCCACTCTAAAATTAGTCAGTCATTTCAGTCGTCATTATGACTAACGCTATTAATATTTCCTCCATTTATGGAGTACAGATAATAAGTTTATTAGATGGTTGGAGGCAATTGGCCACAGGAAGCCTTTGACCTAAGTTTCGTGCTAGTTGGCACTCACCAGTTAGCAAGGCGTATTTGCAACCTTGAGGGAACTCGTGTCCCTTCTGAGATTCGAACCCGCGTCACCACTGCTGCGGTCAGAGACGTTACTACTGAGCGATACGTTCTCGCGATTGACCTGCTGTAGGTCTGTAGTGGATACTTTGATTGGGCACTAGTAACTAGTGTGATGCGTCTCAGCAGCGACATGAGTTACTTGAAGGTTGCAGATACGCCTTGTTGATGAGGGCCGAATGGCACGAAACCTAGGTTGAAGGTTTCCCGCCAATTGCTATAAAACATCTAATATCATCAAATCAATGTTCATCATGATGGCGAGCTACCTAGAATGGTGGTTAAATTGCAAACCTGAATGATAGAATTTAGTCTGCACCAAAGAAAGTACTAGACACATAACACTAGTTACTAGTGTC